TGACACCGACAGTTGTGAAGCTTAAAAGTTTAATAGCATTGTGAATACTTTAAAAAAAAAATACAGTGTTTAGTGATTTAAACTCTTTGTTACGCATTAGTTAATCTGGTTCCAATATATAGAATACTCTCGATCTTACTGTCCAAATATGGCGACACACGTAACCGAGATATATGTAATATGCATGGCGTAATTTTTATGCTTACAAATCTTAGAAAAATGCGTATTTGCAAGAATAATTACAATAAATGTAACCATCGTGAATATTTTTTGAAATATGCGAAGATTTAAATAGATATTACTCGATTGTCACCTATATAATGTGCAACTTTCTTTTTTCCCCAAAATATTTAAAAAAAAGTTACTATAGGTCGATGGTAGCCTTATACACTGGGAGGGGGGAGTAGCCCTCTGATAGCCCCAAATTGAATTCTACTTCTTCTTCGCCTATGTGCAGTGTCCCTTCAGGACATTAACGATCGTGACTCTCCACAATATCCTGTTCTTTGTGGCTCTTAGTAAATGTCTTTTTGTTAGCTCTCCGAATCCATATTCTACCATCCATTTACAAAAAGGTAGGTTATGAGCTGATTTCCTCCGTCTCTCTCGCTTTCAATAAGCCCTGTGAGCGTCAAAGTCTCCAATCGCTCTTTCCTCATTAAGTGTTCTAGAAATTTTAACTGTCACTTTCTTATGTTAAGTATATGTGTCCTTTTTATTTCCATAAACTGATTAAATAAAAACAAAAATAATGTTTTAATAAAAAAAAAAAATGGTAGAATCTTTAAAAGTAAGAAAAAATATAATTATAAATAAATCGTCAGTTAAATATTAGTTTTTCCCCGAAATATTTATTACCAAATTTCAGGTGCGCGTTATACACCTGAACGTTTTTAAAGGCAAGGAATTCAAAATTTCAGGAGCTCTTCAGGTGAAAATCCTTAAAACTGTGTTTTTATAATACTGTTTCAGCCAATGCGTTCCTCGACATTCATCATATGTATAGTTGATGCGAAGATTTTTCTTTGCTTTCAGCAAATATTTATTCAAATATGGACAGTATAAACAGAAGCAATCCACACAATATTTCTCTGAACAAATAAACGCCCCGGGGTAGGTTAATAAAATTCTAGTCCTTTCCCCCTGGTGTGCTTATTCGACAGAGATGTTTATTACATTTTTTTTTCTTCAAAATCAAGTATAAAGATTTATTAAACGTAGCTTAGTTGTGACATAAGGCCGAAAGTATGAAGCACCCAGTGAGGATCGAACTCACTATTCGGTTTTAATAAATCTAGACAACATTGCTAACCATTTCACCTTGTCGTGGTGCTCAGTAAAACCGAGTATATATTCTAATGCAACAATTGATTAAAAAGTAGTTGACATCCAGTATATATTAGACTGAGTCATTTCCGTTTTGAGGAACCAATTGTAATGATGAATGTAGCATAACTTACCGTTTATTAAATATATCATAGCCTGTGAGGAAAAATGTATTCCATACGACACTGTTCAACGTAAAATGCGGTGAATTTATGAGGATAAATCTCCAAATCGATTCTAAAAGCTGTACACCATAAATGTAAGGTAACCTTGTGATGTAAGGTAATCTTGTGGTTGAATTGTGGAGGTATTATCTTATTTATTTAGAGTTATTTAAAAGCAATGGAACACTAGATGCACAATTATATGTTCAGCATCTGGAAGGTGTCCATAAATACGAAAAGGACATGTGTTCGTCAATACTAAAAATTTTGTTCTCTTCCATGTAAACGCAAGACCGCATACAACAAAAATAACACAAGAAAAATATTTGAACCTTGCTTGGTCTGTTCTACCCTAGTCATCATATTCACCTGACCTTGTAACAACCGATTATTACCGTTTTTATCATTATTAAACGCTAGGATGGAGAAAATTTTATTTGATGAGAAACGAATTCAACACGTCATCGAAAATGTTTTCACATTTAAATATGCGGAATTTTACTCAAAAGCTATCGAAGTGCTGCCTGATAAGTGACAACAAGTCATTGCAAATCACGGTGAATATACAAAGTTCGCCAAAAAGGTCTATACACTCCAGGAAAAGAAAAACTTGTCTTTCGTCGTTTTATCAAATTGCGATAACTGTTTATTATGGAGGACACTAAAATGTTGCGCATCGCAGGAAACCGAATACTTTGTTGGGCCTTAGACAAGATATGGAAAATTCATGTGCAGCAACTGAAATTGTAGCTAACTGAAGGTACAAAAGTTGATACCCGATCAGTATCGGCTGGGCCAACGTGGAGAGGGGGTATGAAGTTGAAAGACCTGAAACCTCTAATGAACCTAGGCTAGAAACATCATTGATGATGTGTACCAAAACATCTAAAAGATGTATTTTACGGAATGAACAGATCCTTTGTGCCTTTTCTATAAATACTTTCATGGTAATTGTTCGGATGAGTTCTTCGCTATAGTCCGTAGACTTTTTGAATTTAAGCGCAATACTAGACTGGCGTCGAGATCTCATCAATTGACAGTTGAGCAGGCTAGATGTAGCAGTATGTTCTGTGCTAACAGATTCTCTTCTCGCACTTCTCGCTTATGGAAATCCCTTCCGCCTCCATGCATTTCAACCAACATTAATCTGCAAAAATTTTAATGCAACGTTAATCGCTCTCTACTGTCCTCCTAATTACTTTTTTCTCTTACGGACCATTATTAATATTTCTATTCCCAATTCTTTCACACCCAGTAACCCGTTCTGTTTTAGTGGCTTTATTGTCTTGCTTGGAATGAAACCGATAAAAGAATCAGGCTGTGCACCAATGGTCATTATCTGATCACACATTTCCGTTGAAATGTACAATCACAACACGCACAGGTAGTGAAAGTTTCGATAAAATCTTGTGTGTGATTCACGGTTCTTATTTCTGTCAGAACCAGGAATTTTCAGAGCGTGGTACCTTCATTTCTTCTTTGTGGTACTATTTATTTCTCGTACCTGGTCCAAGACATGGGATAGGTTGATATATTTTACGATATATGAGTCAGGATTATTTAATGTCAGCATCTGCGTTTTTTTTATATTATATTTGAGTTTACAGGTAAACATTAGCCTGGTTTATACTTGAGTCTATAGGTAAACATTGTTAGGGTTTGTACTTGCGTCTATAGGTAAACATTGATCGGGATTATACCTGAGTCTTTAGGTGAACTTTTTCTGGTATATATTTGACTCTAATTAGAAAGAAAGAAAGAAAGAAAGAAAGAAAGAAAGAAAGAAAGAAAGAAAAAAAGAAAGAAAGAAAAAATGTACAGCGAATCTTAGTGAAAAAAAGAAAGAAAAACAAAATTTAATGGGATGAAAGAAAGAAAGAAAGAAAGAAAGAAAGAAAGAAAGAAAGAAAGAAAGAAATAGACACACAAAGTACAGTGAATCTGAGTGGAAAAAGAAAGAAAAACAAAAATTAATGGAAAGAAAGAAAGAAAGAAGGAAGGAAGGAAGGAAGGAAGGAAGGAAGGAGACAAACAATTGGCCGAATCAGTACTTGAATCTATAGGTAAGTATTTTTTAAGGTTTGTATTTGAGTCTATAGGTAAAAATTGGCTGGGATTATACTTAAGCGTGTAGGTAAACACTAGCCAACTTTATACCTGGGTACATAAATAAATATTGGTCTGGTTTATACTTGAGTCTTTAGGTGAACTTATTCCGGTATATATTTGACTCTATAGGTAACCATTGGCCGAATTTGTACTTTAATTTATAGGTAAATATTTGTAAGGTCTGTACTTGAGTGTATAGGTAAAAATTGGCTGGGATTATACGTATGTCTATTGGTAAACACTAGTCAGCTTTATACCTGATTATATAAATAAATATTGGTCGGGTTTATACTTGATTCTATAAGTAATGCTTTTTCGGTATATGCTTGAGTCTTTACTTGAGTGGGAATTTGGATGTTGGATTCACAAGCCGTCCAAGGCTGTATGTGTAGACACTTTTAGTCTAGCCTGATCCGGTTTGAATTCTGAGTTTATTTATCTTTGCCAAGGTAATAGGATCCATTCTGTCCTGCTATTTTACTCATAGCTTGCTTCATACCTGTCACAACTTGGTAAGAGGGGTTCTGCAATAATAACGACAACGCAGTTTAGTTTGATGACTTTTGTCTCTCGAAGCGATACTCCTGTTTTTTATTCACGTATACACAATATGGCCGACACGATACTCCCGTGTTTGAATAATAACTGAAACGGTGCTTCCGTTTGTTTAGTCCCTGGTTACGACAATAGCTTTCCCAAGGGTATTTGCACATAAGTGGAATTCAAACTAGCCTCTCCGGTTCCTCAATCCAAGCCACTAACCATTATCCTAAAACTTTTAACGTAATAATATGAAAATTGTAGTATTTGCGGTGTTTGCTTATATATTCCGTACGTTTATATTCTTTGACAAACCTCAACATAAATGATACATTTGCATGACAAAAAAAAAAAAAAAAAAAAAAAAAAAACAATATTTCGCGTAGTAAATAAATGGAAAACTCAGACGAAATATTCTTTTTTTGTCATCAAATCGTATCTTTTAATGGAAAACACACACACAGAGACATAAAAAAGAGGGAATAATTTAAGAAAATTCGGGTATGGATGGGAATGCTAATTTCAGAATTACACAAAACAACTGAAATGGCATGAAGCAATTCTCTTGGGCGAGGTGAAATCGTAATTTTTTAGACCATGGAGGGATGTATGAAGTTGGTTGAGAGTGTCTACGAGAGATGTTTTCGTTGGAAGGTGATCAGTTTTGCACACGACACTGTGGCAAGAGGCGCCATTTGCCGTTCTTTGTAATTTGGGGAGTGGAAACGAGAGAGAGAAAAAACACTTTGACTGTCGTCTGCCCATTATTCCATTATTTGTGGCTCGATTCACACGTGGACGCTCCAACATGTCAACAGTCAACAAAATATCATTCAAGCTAATCATTTAATCTCCTTCAGAATGATTTTCTTTCTCCCGTCTTCAATTTCGTTTCGGTTCGTCTTTTTTCATATTCTCCATCAAATTTCTGTTTTTTACTTCTTTTCTCTATTTTTTTTTTCTAAAGTTCTTTTCTTGAATGCAGAGCGACTTTCTTTCTTTCTATCAATTTTTACCATTCTTTCTTTCTTTCTTTTTTCTTTCTTTCTTTCGTCCCATTAAATTTTGTTTTTATTTCTTTTTTTCCACTAGGATTCGCTGTACTTTCTTTCTTTCTTTTTTTCTTTCTTTGTGCTTGTCTTCTTTCTTTCTTTCTTTCTTTCTTTCTTTCTTTCTTTATTTCTTTCTTTCTTTCTTTCTTTCTTTCTTTCTTTCTTTCTACCAATTTTTCCCTTCTTTCTTTCTTTCTTTCTTTCTTTTTTTTCTTTCTTTCCTTTCGTTTTGGGTTTTTATTTCTTTTTTCCACTCAGATTCACTGTACTTTGTCTCTTTCTTTCTTTCTTTCTTTCTTTCTTTCTTTCTTTCTTTCTTTCTTTCTTTCTTTCTTTCTTTCTTTCTTTCTTCCCATTAAATTTTATTTTTCTTTCTTTTTTCCACTAGGATTCACTGTACTTTCTTTCTTTCTTTCTTTCTTTCTTTCTTTCTTCTTCCGCCAAATTTTGTTTTCCTTTCTTTTTCCTACTCTATTTTATTATACTTTTCAGTTTGTTTTTCTATTTGTTTGTATCTTTCCTTTTTCTTTCTATCTACTTTCGTTTTGTCTTCTTTGTTTCCATCAGCTTTTCTTATTCTTTATTTCTTTCTCTCAATTAAACATTTTTCTTAACTTATGTTTATATTCCCCCCCTTCTTCTCTCTTTCTATTGATTTCATTTATTTTTCGCGCGTACCTGCCTTCTTCATTTTCTTTAATTTTATTTTATTTTTTATATTATCTCTATTTTGATTTTATTTAATTTTTTCTTTCTTTTAAGATTCAGAAATTTAGATTGACTTTTTTTCTCATTTTTCTTGGTCAAAATGACGTTATTTTTTTCTATTATTTCCAATTTTATGTATTCATTTCCTTCATATTCTTGTTTCTTTTCGTCTCGCATTGGATATAGATTTATTCATATCTATCTATCTATCTATCTATCTATCTATCTATCTATCTATCTATCTATCTCAGTTTGTTCATATCTATCTATCTCAGTTTGTTCATATCTATCTATTTCAGTTTGTTCATATCTATCTATCTATCTATCTATCTATCTCAGTTTGTTCATATCTATCTATTGCAGTTTGTTCATATTTATCTATTTTAGTTTGTTCATATCTATCTATTTTATTTATCATATCTATCTATCTATCTATCTATCTATTTGTATCTATCTATCTATCTCAGTTTGTTCATATCTATCTCAGTTTGTTCATATCTATTTCAGTTTGTTATCTATCTATCTATCTATCTATCTATCTATCTATCTATCTATCTATCTATCTCAGTTTGTTCATATCTATCTATTTCAGTTTGTTCATATCTATTTCAGTTTGTTCATATCTATCTATCTGTCTATCTATCTATCTATCTATCTATCTATCTCAGTTTGTTCATATCTATCTATTTCAGTTTGTTCATATCTATTTCAGTTTGTTCATATCTATCTATCTATCTATCTATCTATCTATCTATCTATCTATCTATCTATCTCAGTTTGTTCATATCTATCTATCTCAGTTTGTTCATATCTATCTATTTCAGTTTGTTCATATCTATCTATCTATCTATCTATCTATCTATCTATCTATCTATCTATGTATCTATCTATCTATCTCTGTCTCTCTCTCTCTATCTATCTATCTATCTATCTCAGTTTGTTCATATCTATCTATTTCAGTTTGTTCATATCTATCTATCTATCTATCTATCTATCTATCTATCTCTGTCTCTCTCTCTCTCTCTCTCTATCTATCTATCTCTATCTATCTATCTATCTATCTATCTATCTATCTATCTATCTATCTATATCAGTCCATTCATTTGGGATCTATCTATCAATCTTCATTTATTTATTTTTGATCGTTCTTTACTCTTAACTTTTCGTTATGTCTCAAATTATACGCTCCTTTGCCTTAATATTCTGTAGATTTCTCCGAACTACAACGTCTTAGCAAAATTCCACATGACTCATCCCTCCATCGACTCAAACATTTTATCACTCAATTCTTCATCCCTCTTTTGCTACTTGAATCGCTTTCCGTCGCCTCTTTCAATGTCTTGTCCGCTTTCTTTCTAGACTTTGCTCTCTAGCCATTACTTTTAAACCCATCTGCTTCCCTCCAACAATATCCCAGTCCAGTTAAACCAAGCTTACAACATGAAGCTCTTTCCTTTTACATCTCTTTACAATTATGTGATGCCTTCCTGTTCGCCATGTTTCCTCTTGTTCGCCATGTTTCCTTTGTTACCCGCTTTCAAAATAAATACTGGGCTGAGTTTTTACCTTTTAATCTAACTGGAATTTTTTACACAATGAAAAATACAATTCTTCCGTGATTATCCATACAACAATCTTCCGGATCTCAATGATTGAAAGTTCCTTAATATTTTTTGGTTATCCGAACTAAATCTATTCTAATATTTTATCAGACGAGCATTTTGAGAAATTAAAAAAAAAATACTCAACGTTCAGAATTTCGATTTCAAAAAGTTTTAAACAATTAAAAAAAAACAAACTTGATTTTAACCAAAATCTCGATGATATCAAAGCTTATGGATTATCTGGGTTCCGAAAAATTCCAATCTATCGGTAATCAAAAGTTTAGCTCACAAATAAATAATCATGATTGTACCGTTAGAAAATCAAGACAAAATTGGTGAATGTCCCTACGGTGGAATAATGGATAATCGGAGAGCCGTGTTCGAATTCCAGTCGAATCCATTACATTCACTTATGTGCTAATATTCTTGGGAAAGGTATGAATCCTCTTCTTCTCCCCCCACCCAAGCTATGGCTAAATAGCAGGACAGACCGGGTTCTATAGCCTTGGATGGCAACTGGTCTACCGCAGAAAGAAATAGCAACCTAAAAAAAAATCTGCCCCGTCAGTCATGTATCGAAAGATACATGATCGCCTAAGCGTGTATCACGGATGACACCTAACTGACTGCCCAAAGAAAAGAATGTTAATCGCCTATGTAAAATCAAATTTCCTATATATCGATGAATGATGGATAATTTCTTTACAGGTGGAGAAGAAACTCGAAGCCGCAGAGATGTGGTTCTATCGACAAATGCTGAGAATATCATGGACATAGCATGTGAGCAACGAGGAAGTAAATAGGAACCACGATAAAACCTATACTGACAATCAGAGAGAGACACAGCTGAAATCTTTGTGATGCATTATGACGAAAGATGGCCTAGAGAACCTAACACTCACGGGGCATACTGAAAACTGCGAATGACATAGTTAAAGAATCTCTGTAAATGAATGGCTGAATGAGGACAAAGAGGAGTAGTAAAGAATTAAAATTTCCTTAATGCAACAAAATGAGGACGTTGTGAAGAGTTAGATGCGGGCATAAAGGTAGAAGGGACTTGCTCTTATTTATTTATATATTTCGTTCTTATCAAAATCCATTCCGAAAGGAAGCTGTCTGAGGAATTTTGATGATGCAATCATTCATGACATCGCGGCAATGACAATCCTGCTACAAACCTTTAAACACCGTTGAGAATTGCCATTCTCTCCAAGATAGACAACAACCCAATGCCGCGATTGCCCCACTTCCAACGCATATGGTAACAATAACAATAAAAATAGCCAGGCCAATATTAACAGCAAACAAAGAAGAAGCTAGTTAGATTACACACGTCCCCTTGATTCTTGACACTGCTGAAGGAACAGTTATCTCAGTCGTCAAGTGAGATCGTCCATTGGCTGTTAATAGCCATCACGTGACCCATTCCCCCTCTCTCTCCCCCTTTTCCCCACACACTCTCGCTCAGTCTTTTATTTTTCATTTTCAAATAGTACCGGCTGTTTTATTGCATGGCAATTGCTTCCGCGCTTTTGAGGGATGAATTGAATTCATTTCTATTGCATTTATTGATCAGTTTTATCTTCGACGATTTATTAATTAATTACGACTCTGCTCTTACTCGGTAACGTTATTTACTGACGCTTCAGGGTCTGTTGTAGGTCTGCTCAAGTCATGAAGAATATGAATACTGTTTAGTTTTGGCTTAACGTTGTAGTGTATAAATACTACAGGGTTCTTTCCATCCAACGTTTCTATCTTCGTCTGTGTCGGTGTGAACGAAAAACTGGGAAAGTCCCGTTGCACGCTCACAAGGGAAAGAAAAATTAAAACAAACGCCATGGCGATAAATAAGGACTTGAATCCAGTTTTAGTTATTTAGTCAAATCAAAGATTCTCTTGCACGTTCGACACTTGGGACACTAGGCCTCGGAATTACAGTCCGTCCCTGTTCGCGAAATGTCCAACACTGAAGTACTTCAATGTGACTGTTGTTATAAGCCTGTAACCGGAAATTCTCGGTTTGCTGTCAATTGCTCCTAAAAGATTTCCTTTATTTGTCTATTATTTTATTCTCTTTTGGTCAAGTGTGTGGCTGCTTTGGTAGATCCAATTTCACATGCTTTATCGCTAGTCATAAAAAATCAAAAGGTTTAAGACTGAAATAAAATCAACCACCATCCTCTTTTATGTGCGTGTCCCAAATAGTGCAATCGTTAGTATAGTAATCTTGCAGACAATTACTACTGTATTGAGTTTGATACGTAGCAGAGACTTAACACATGTAGATATATACCAAATTAATATAAAAATAGTAAAATATATATATATATATATATATATATATATATATATATATATATATAAGTATATGATTTGTATACGGAATAAATTCCGATAACCAACAATTACTATTCTTAAAAGAGTGCTCAATACAGAGTAGAGCAGATATAATTATTTATTTAAAAATTATAACATAAATATGTTATAAAATCACTACAAAAATAGACATTTTGTTTCAACACCTCTGGTGTCTTATCAAGTGATAATGTTGAATGTAAAATAAATTGTTTTAAAAATTTCAATTTAATTAACGATCCTTCGCAAAGAGAAAACGCTGTTACATAAGCTAGAATTACCAATCAAAACACAAGTATAAGAGAATTCAAAAAACTTGACAACGAAGTAAGGTTATAATATCTATTAAGAGCTTTAAAGTTCGTGTTATACTAAAATATAATTTATTCTAACCAATAAGTATTAAATTATATGATAAAATTTGATATTAAAATTAAAAGTAAAAATTACCAATTTTAAAATCTAAATTTAATCTCTATTAAGTTTAAAATTATAAAATTACTGAGGAGAAAAGAAAAAATACATATGTTATTCAATTTATTTTTTCATTGAAATTACGTTAGAATAGACGCTAATATCAGCTGGTTTTCCCGACAAAATGTATCCATTTTAATCCCGAGTGTGTGAGTGGGGTGCTAACCTCTTACGTAAAACAATACACACACAGATTATAATACATAAGCACCCAGACATATTTATATATACACACACACAAAAAAGTGACGAGGCAAGAAACATCTCCACGCCCCTTTATAAAAAAAAAAAAAAAAACGAACACATACATACATACATACACAATTAAATGTGCATGCATTTTCTATACACATGGACACCGATAAATACATGTACACACATCCACATACATTGACTTAGACAATCTGATACTGATTTTTTGTCGGGAAGACCAGCTGATATTAGCGTCTGTACCTCAGTATGTACCGGCCACACCTTAATACCATATTAAACTTTGTATTCGGTGTCACATCAAAACACCAAAAGAGCTCGGTATGTATCAGTATGACCAAGAAGGTTCCCTCATAGCCTACAAGTGTAGAATCGAGTCTCAAATGATTTCTCTGTCTGTACCGATATAAACAGCCCAGCTGAACTCAAAATATACACATACATGATACCCGAATAACAGAATGCACGAATCGCGTCAGGCGTTAAGAGAATCCCTCTTGTCTATTCGTGCCAGAATCCTTTTCTCGTCAGAATATATCTTGCCCATTTATAAATGTACAATTCGTCCGTGCAAATCTGATCTGGCCTTCCTGCTGTACATCTCGAGAGAATCTTGACAAGAAGCAAAGAATGGTCTGTAATGTAATCCATCCTGACCAGGAATCTCGACTTCAGTAACTCTCTCACCGACATACCGTGACTTCCCTGTGTCTTTTCTACAGATATTTACATGGCAACTGTTCTGATGAACTTTTTACCTTGGTACCCCGACTACATGAATTTAAACGTGCTACTAGATTGGCAACTAGGTCTCACCATTCTACTGTTGAAATAGCTAGATGCATTTGCCACTTCTACTCTACCAGATTCTTTTCTCGCTCTTACCGCCTGTGGAACTTTCTTCTGATTTATTGCTTCCATGATAAATGCAATCTTCAAAAAATTAAATGCAAGCTCAATCGACATCTCTCTTTTTGTACCTGCTCTTTTTTTGTTAATTCCTCCCCACTGAAGCCTTCATTCACTGTAACTCCATGCCTTCTACTGACATTATCACCTTTCTTGGTGTGAAACGATTAAAAAAGAAAAAGAAGATCGAATGTTCGAAGTACCCGAAACCAAATACCCTTCACGGCTGATGTTAATTTGACGGATTCCAGAAGTGGATAAGCAATATTCTTACGAAATGTAAGATTTAGTTTTGTATTTTTATCAGATGTTTAAGCGTTGGATTCATACCTTTCCAGCAGGTATTTTCACATAGGTGTATATAACGAACCCGACTGAAATTCGAAATCATTATCCCTTACACCAGCGGCACATCCAAGCTTACAGCACCTGGTATTCCCGAACGATCACCCATCTGATACTGACCAGGTTCAACGTTGCTTAAATTCGGTGATCAGTCAAGAACCGGTATTTTAACACGATATGGCCGTAGACATCACGACCTCAATACGCAAGATCTTGTTCGTTTTTCAGCATCTCGTTCTTCATTTTATTTCCAGGAGATTCCATCTGTCTCTTCCTGATTCTATGTATAAATGTTGTCTTTGTTGTCATTTTTCTTAAAGACTCCCTCGTTGCTTACCGTCTCCGTCTATGGAATTCTCAGTATCTTTCTGTAGAACCATATTTTTTTTTGCCTCAAGTCTCCCCTTCATGTGTGAGTAGATTTTCCCGTATTCCCTGCCATAAAAAAAAAAAAAAAAACAAAAAACAAAACAGAAAGAGACTCACTCGAATATTCTAAAGTATATTTTCAACACTCAACAAATAACACCAAATAACTGGTTATAGTTACAGACAATGTATAGATAGCAATCAGCAGTTTATGGTGACTGTCAAAATTTAATCTAGTTTTTTTTAAAAGACAAAGATGAGGACAATAGTCCGAATAATGTAAATAATGTATTTTTTTTTAATCCGAAAAATATTATTTCGATCAGTTTATTAACAATTTCGTTTCCAATATGCACTACCTTATTCGAAAATTGGATTTTTTTAAAATCCTATCATTCATGCATGACAATAAAGAAAGCACACAACGGGCTATTGAGTTGGGGACGACCAATTAAAAAAGAGAAACATCAGGGAGCTAGAAGAATAAAATCGTAATCAAAAAGACAGCAGATAGCGATCGACATTGCATTTAAATTTTTGAAGATCAAAATTGTCTGGAAATCAAGAAGCCGGAAGAGAGTTGCCCAAACGTGAAGAGCCATAGAAGAAACTCTTAGCATAGAACGTACGGTTACAATTAGCCAATTCATTTGTAAATTGATGAAGCCTGGCTGTCAATCTAATAATTCGCTTAAATTCATAAAGTCGAGGTACCATAGCGAAAAATTCATCCGAACAGGGATCATGAAATTATTCTTAGAAAAGTGTTATGGAGTAGTCTCACAGTGGAGGCTTGTATTTGTACTAAATCGGTCCTAAAATAGGTTCGACGTACAAAATGCTAGGAACTTGATATAATAGGTAATGACGCAGAGAAATCTAGTTGTGGTCCTGATACTTTAGTATCCGACTAACGGTCGTCCGGCATCGATTCACTGACCGACCCACTGAGCAACTCCCTCGTTACTCTTACTACTCCTACTTATTATAGGTGGGAGAGTCTATTAACTATAAAATAGGTGTGTTCCACTATAACAAAAAAGCAAAGGGAAGTTAGATTAAAACGGCAGAAAAGGGGATGGAGTCGAGATGCCAGGTCAGGACCAATAATATTGCTGGTTCGTCTTTGGATTTTATCAAGAATCTCTAAATATACAGCAGGAGCACTGCACCATAAGTGACAGCAATATTCAAAGCAGTTCAAAGAATTTCAACTTGATTTTATAGTTGCTAACTAAATATACTTTATGTATGCCAAGACGTTTGCTTCAATGTGTGGTGCTAGACAATATTTTCTCGTCAGAATTCATCTTGCAAATTTATTTATTAATCTACCTTGAATATTGCAGCCATATTTGCTGTGGTGTTTCGGCTATGTAAATCAAATTTCAAAGAAGGGTCTCTAATGTTATCGGTCCTGACCTGGCATTTCGACTTCAGACATTTTCTCACTTTTGTAGAGTGGCTTCCCTTTATCTTTTCTATAAATATTTTCATGTTTGTTGTTCTAATGATCTCTCCTCATTGGTAACTCTACCACGTGAATTTAAGCGAACTTATCAATTGGCTCTTATCTCTCATTGTTTAACTGTTGAAATAAATGCAACTGTAGTTTTTATTTTAATAGATTCTTTTCTACACTTCGCACCTTTGGAACTTTCTTCTGATTTTTGTTTCCGTGCCACCTACAATATTCAAAACTTTAAATGCAATATCAATCGCTATCTTCTGTCTTCCTGAAACTTGTTCTTTTATTGTAATTTCTCCTTACTGAAGGTGGCAGTAAAGTCACTATACAATTACTCATATCCCCCCCCAAAAAACAAAAACAAAACAAAACAAATCATTGAAGCAGATGACTTGCAATTCAAACAATATCGGTAATTAATTTATTATTGTTTATTATAATATTTTATTGTTATTAACCAGAATTAACCTGAACCATATTAATAATAAATTCCGGGACTGTGATTAATTGCTTTGTCTTAATTATTTATATAGTATATTTATTTACCAACCCTGTATATATATATATATATATATATTTATATATATATATATATATATATATATATATATATATATATATAAAAGTGAAATATAGAAGTCAACACTTAGAGGCGACAGTCTTATTCGAAAAATCTGCTAAATGCAATCGTCACACCACGAGTACTGTTATTTTCTTGGCTATATATATATATATATATATATATATATATATATATATATATATATATATATATATGGGTCAGTGGTGCATTATTGGGGAGCCTATTTTGGCGGTTATTTTACCGGAAGTCGTTTATTTGTTTATTTATTTATTTGGGTTAAAATATTTTGTTTGTTTTATTTATTTTTATTTCTTATCTTATTTATTTTTTTATTTTTTATTTTTATTTTAATCGGTGTTTTTACTAACGTAGTAAAAATTTACTAATATAGCTTATTTAAGTGATTTGTTTTGGTTTGGGAAGATAATTAAAGCTATTTATTCAATTTTGGGGTTGATTGTTGTCGTTTATTCTAACTATTATGTTGGCGGGAACAGTTTTTAATTTGTATTTATTTGGATTGATTATATTTATTTGTTTTTTCTAACGTTAATTTATCGGGATTATTTACTTTTTGGATGAATTTAGGTCAATTTATTTTACTTGTTATTATTTATTTGTTATACTGTATATTTTTGGTTTTCGATTTTTAAGTGACGTAGTATTTTTTATCGTTATATAATTGATATAGCTTTTTCGTCCGATTTTGGGTTTGGTTTTTACTGTGTTATAAATATATATATATATATATATATATATATATATATATATATATATATATATATATTATGTTTTATACGTTTCATTAAATAATATAGACAAGTGTTGTCTATTTATTTTTTATGTAATTTTTTTCGTATCTTCTGATAAGTTTGATAACATTATCATAAACCGAAAAAGAAATTCACAATATTTATCCATTATTTTATCTTTTTCGGTTAATGATAATGTTATCAAACTTATCAGAAGATACGAAAAAATTTTACATAAAATAAATAGACAACACTTGTCTATATTATTTAATGAAACGTGTATAAATGAAAATATGCGATTTATTTACACACAATATATATATATATATATATATATATATATATATATATATATATATATATATATATATATATATATATATATATATATATATATGTGTGTATATATATATATATATATATATATATATATATATATATATATTAATTTTCGTGACTGATATGGATCTTCGAAAAATCTTATTAAATGTAGATTTGCGCTCTCCGGCAACAATCGTTCAAGATTTCTCGAACATTCAGATTCAGGTATAGATAATGTTCACCCAGTTAAAAAGCAAAAGTAAAATCATCCTTGATAATGGCTAAAAGTATAGCGAAAGCGCTGGGAATTATAGAATATTTGGACAGTTTCTACACCGTGTCCAGAAAACAATTTTTCGAACACAAGAAAAAATATCTAAAAAGCTTAATCACTGCACCTGGCTGTAGTCTTTTATGAAATATATATATATATATATATATATATATATATATATATATATATATATATATATATATATATATGGCTTTAAACGTTATTTTAATGTAAACCGATATTTGAGTAGTTTCGCCTTTTATTCATTAAATATTATATTAATATATTTTCGTCTACCGGCCAGATATTCGAGAAGTGTTATTAAAATAAATTGTTATTCGAAACCCACCTCCCCCATTGCAGGAGAAAACGGCGTTAGATATAATGGGCTTAAAAACCGACTCATCCATGGAGTACGTCGCCGATCACGCAGAGCCAAATGGTGCTTTATAAACGCAAATCCTTTCTTGAAAGTTCATATCTGCTCAATTTCGTATCGGAGCGTAAACAAAACTATTTCTAAAGAAGTAATGGATTTTTTATTTATTAATCAGACAGATTTTATATAATCTCTCTTGCCGTCTCTCTCCTTATCTCTCTCTCACTATCTTTCTCTCTCTCTCTCTCTCACTCTCTCTCTCTATCTATCTATCTATCTATCTATCTATCTATCTGTATATCTATCTATATGTATATCTATCTATATCTATCTATCTATCTATCTATATATATATATATATATATATATATATATATATATATATATAGAGAGAGAGAGAGAGAGAGATAATAAGAAAAAAGAGACAAGATCAAAAACTATTCTTAGCCGACGCGAGAGACGTGTGAGAGACTTTATCATACCAAAGTAATTATCGAATACACCTTCGTACATATATATATATATATATATATATATATATATATATATATATATATATATACGAAAGAATATTAGAAATTCGCGTCCCAAAAATTTCGGGGTATTTTGACAACAGGAACATTTGCCATATATGCAAAGACTCTTCTCAAATCATTTCACATAACCTCTTCAAGTTTATTGTTATCTATCCTACATATTCTAATTTTAAGCTTTAGCGTTATTCTTACTATTTTTACACACACACACACACACACACACACACACACATATATATATATATATATATATATATATATATATATATATGTAACGAGTGGGAGAGAATATTTAGGCAGTAACATTGGGTTAAGCATGTCGACGACTCTCAGAAAATGTTGAACCATTTATGCTCAATTATTCCTGGGCAGAAAAAATCTGGAACAAAGAATATTCGTCCGTTTTCAAACAAAACTGCATATATATGGTAAATGACATGTCCATTCAGGACGTAGAAAGCCATGGTTCTCCACATCTTCCATTTTCTTATATAAGTAGCATCATGGCCCGGCGTTGCCCGTGCTTGATTCAAAAATCGTACGACTCATACAGCAATCGCTGTCACTTGACTTCAAATATTTTTGCCTTTCCTTGCCTTTAAAAGAGTGCCCTTTGCCGTGTTGATGTTGCTACATGCCTTATTTTTTGCCTATCTCACACTGAGAATTTTTTTAAGCTCTATACTAAACATTAAATCTGTTATGAAAAAAGAACTAAACAAAATGAACACAAAACGATCAGCTTTAAAAAAGGACTCGTAACTGGAAAAAAGAATGTTAACAACAAATACTTTTTCACACCAACTGTGAAATCAGAATCAACGTTGAGTTTAAGCAAGCGAATGAGCCAATTGGAGTAAAGTTCCATGCAGATTTAAATTTTTCCCACTTGTGACGAATGCAGTTATCGATTTTTTTGCATGCAAGCATGCTAGTTAACATTCGTGTCAGTCAGCTGTTGGCTCTCACGCTGGCCAATAAAATCTTCCTGCCTATTCGGGGCAGCCAGCTATCGGCTCTCACTCTGGCCAGTAGAAAATGGCCGCAAACTACATGAAAACTGCCGTAGAAGCATGAAAACATCGATTATTTCCACTATCGATGGGAGTTGGGAAATGCAAAGTCGGTCTTGGCCTTTCTGCTAACTTGGAGCATGTGCATGTAAATTTTGGTGCAACTCCGTCAAAATCTGCGGCCGTGCATTCGTTACAAACACACACACACACACACACACACACACACACACACACACACACACACACACACACACACACACACACACACACACACACACATCCTGCCTGTTATAGATAGAGATCTATTGATTTCCCATAGCTTCATCAGTATGTTTCTAAAGTGATTTCGCATTTCTTTCACTGAGGAGACCTTCTAGTTTGGATGACACCCAAAGCTAGAGTACCAATTATTTAAAATTGCTATTGAAATAGATCGTATGCACCTGACGAAATAGGATAGTGACTCAAGGTTTTTGGATTATTTTAAAATGACTCAAGGTCTTATATTATTTTAACTTTTTTGTACACAAGAGAAAAAAGCGTCGTAAGGAAGGTAAGCACTAATACAAAAAAGAACTGAAAGAATAACTTTTTATGTCAATATCGTTTCAAACGGATATTGATCAATAGTGTTCTCCGACCATCAGTTGGTTACTAATGTAATCGATCTTGACCTGGCATCTCGACCTCAGTCACTTTTTCCACCGACATGGCTTCCCTCTGTCTTTTCTACAAATATTTTTATGGTAACAGCACTGACGAGCTTTTTTTCCCCGGCAACCCGACTGCATGAATTTAAGCGTGCTACTAGATTGGATCTAAGTCCCACCCTTTTACTGTTGAAATAACAAAATGCAACCACCACGTCTACTCCAACAGTTTTTCGCACTTCCCGCCTGTGGAACTCCATTCCGTTTATTTTCTTTCATGATAACGACAATCTTCAAAAATCTTCATCATCATTCAGCCGTAGTCGTGATCATCGAGTCAAAGCGAACGATCCTATTGTTATGAATAATCAAGAGTGGTCTCCCCTTGTTTTGTTACTCTCCTCTTTGATAGAGCTATTACTGTTTACTGGAACTATAAAAGGACACTATTCGCGAACCTTGTATTCCCAGTTGAATAAAGCTGTTGTGTATTCACACTAGATTTATTCAACTTTTACAGTGAAGCAATCTTGAGAGAATTAGAAGTCTTCATCATTTCCACTGCAGTCGGGATCATCGAGCTAATACGAACGACCCTTTCCTTTATCTGTATAATATGTGCTACTACATTGCTACATACAGTTTTGAATTCAGAGTGACTTTCTCCTAAACCGGTTGACATCCAAGGCTAAATAACCCAGTCTCGTCTGCTATTTACCCATAGCTGGAGAGAGAAGAAAGGGATCCATACCTTCCCCAGGGGTATTAGCACATAAGTGAATGTCACAGATCCGACTGGAATTCGAACTCGTCTTTCAGATTTTTTCAATCCGAGCCGCTATCCATTACTCCACCGTACCTCCAAATTTAAATACAACGTCATACAATTTCCTTTCCTCAGTTCTCCCTATACTCAGTCTTTTCTCTTACTTTCACTCTCTGTTACCTCTGCTTACTTTCACTCTCTCTTACCCCTGCGTGCAACCATTTTCCCCCAGCCGAAGTGTTGCAAGCATCGGGCTACTCTATAGCTATATCCATGGCAAATGTTCTGACGCACTACATTCATTAATATCACAATGTCACGTACGATATCGAAACGAATAATCCCATTCCCTATGGATTCTATTAGTAAGGATGAAGTGCATCTTCATTTCGAGAACATCAACTTTATGGAACAGACTCCAGAGAGAATGAAGAAGCAACCCCGAATTTTATAATCTTAACTTCTTCAAGTCTAGGATCAACCGTTATATATCCTACATATCCTCATAATCTGTATTTATTGCCACTTCATCATCTTACGTGCATACAACAACCTTATTCAGTAATTCTCTTCCTTGAGTGGCTCTTGTGATTTGTAATATGTGAGCAATTAGTAAAACATGCCTTAGTGAGTCCGATCATCAATACATGACCTATTTCTGTGGACTTACCCAAGATTAAGCTAAAGTTAACGATACAATATACCTATATATAGTCTCTTTTATCTGGTGTGATAGTTCTATCTTATCTGACGCTTTACCTACTGCCAGAATAGTTCATAGTCAAATACATATGCTCCTCTTGCAAGCCGGTGTAAGTTAGACATGTACTTATTCTAGAAATGCACTTCCATGCTAACATCAGCTTCAACTGTTACAAAGGGAAACATTAGAGGAACCTTTTTCTTGCATATAATTCAATTTTACAGGCAAGTATGACTCGAAAGCTTATTAAGTCGAACACAAAGAAGACTGACTGATGAGAAAATGCTCACACATTCAAACATGCATGCGTTAAGCACATAAATTTGTCATCACCAACGAAAAATTCAAAATCACTTTCGCATCATAATCAGGAAAACCAATTCACTGTATGAAAGAAAGAGAGAGAGAGAGAGAAAAAAACAGAATTCACATCGAGAAAGACATCTAGTTCTCTTTTGCCCCACGTCATACCAGTTGACCAATGTAATTATTTCACCAACTTAATGAAAGGCAAACAGACATTAAAAAGCATAGCAACTCGAACTGACAAACTCTCTACTTCCTGGAAACGATTCTCGTTAATCACACGCAAATCTCACGGGATTTAACTTACGTTGTACGCATTATCCTGTTGTCTATTAACACGAATGAACAAAACGTGGGAAAGAAAAAATAACAAGAGCAATTGGTAAAAACTACGTAAGGCAACAAGACTTTACAATGAACGTTTCATTACCCTTCTTGATATATCTAACTGCTTCTATATCTTTTTAAACTAAGTATATTTGGACAGCAATCCTTCGTTTATACATGTTTTATCAAATAAAACGGACAGGGGTTATCTGTTAAAACTTCTGGTGAGTCTCTTGTGATATTGAAGAAAGGTGAAAACTTGTAAAGGATTTTTGCCGAAATTGTGCGTAATGTTTCGAGTACTTTCAATGTACTGTACCAAATAACAGAGACTACTTAAGTTGAGGACATTTAACAGCAGTAACAAATGAATAGCACATGTAATCCGAGTAGAAAATAATGACATAATCAAGATGTTGACATTGCATACTTCAGACAAAAGGTTAGGCAGTAATCGCCCATCGGTACTGGAAGGATCGATAACAATTACTGGTATTGAGAAAACTATATCCTGAAAAACTGTATTAAGAGAAATACTTTCTAAATTTCAACCGACGTTAGAACTTGTCGCTCGTTCAATGAATGCTGAATATTTCCTCATAAGGGAATGGTCAAAAGCAATATTACCATGAACCTCATTGGTCATTTTCAAAGAACGAAGATAGAGCGTTATGAGATGGGTTTTGTTTTTAAAGGTTGGAGATTGAAATGAACGTGTCTTCAAATGTTATGGTTATAGAATAAACTTTAACATAAATTCTATCTCTCGTATAAAAAGAAAGAGACAGAAGTAAGCGTAACGAATATATATATATATATATATATATATGCATATATATATATATATATATATATATTTATATTGATGCATGTTTCATTAAATAATAAAGACAAGTGTTGTCTGTTTATTTCATGTAAATTCTTTTCATATTGTCTGATAAGCTTAATAACATTATCATTAAACGAAGAAAGAAAATCACAATATTGATACATATTTTTTAATCCTA